GCCATGGTGTTCACCTCCATTGCCTGCAGCCACTGAGCTTCCCTGTTGCCAACTACGGTGGGGATTTCTTTCCAGACCCTCCCACAGCAGCAAGACTCTCCCCTGCCCCAGTGGGCCCTGTTCAGAGCACTCTGTGGATGGACTTCCTGACGAGGCTAGCCCAGGGGCAGACTTCACCCCCTTCAACTGCAGGAATGCTCGTGACTGCTCCAGCAAAGAGAGGGTGGGTGACTGCAACTTACTGGTCATGTATCTGCAGCCAAGTGATTTAACCACTCTGGGTCTGTTTTCCTATCCATAATGCAGGCATTCAATGTGTGTGTGCGTAGGTGTGTATCTGGGAGACTCCATATCACCATTTTTAAATTAAGATTTATTTATTTGTTTGAAAGTCAGAGGAGGGGCTGGCACTGTGGCACACCGGGTTAACACCCTGGCCTGAAGCACTGGCATCCCATATGGGTGCCGGTTCAAGACCCGGCTGCTCCACTTCCAATCCAGCTCTCTGCTGTAGCCTGGGAAAGCAGTAGAAGATGGCCCAAGTCCTTGTCCCAAGTCCCTGCACCCACATGGGAGACCTGGAGGAAGCTCCAGGCTCCTGGCTTCGGATCGGTGCAGCTCTGGCAGTTGAGGCCAATTGGGGAGTGAACCATCAGATGGAAGACCTTTCTTTATCTCTCTCTCTCTCTCTCTCTCTCTCTCTCTCTCCTCTCTCTGTGAAACTCTGACTTTCAAATAAATAAATAAATAATCTTAAGAAAGAGAAAGAAAGAAAGAAAGAAAGAAAGAAAGAAAGAAAGAAAGAAAGAAAGAAAGAAAGAAAGAAAGAAAGAAAGAGAGAGAGAGAGAGAGAGAGAGGGAGGAAGGAAGGAAGGAAGAAAGAAAGTCAGAGGAACAGAAGGCGGGGAGTATATCTTCCATCCACTGGATCATTCCCCTGATGGCTTCAACGAATAGCCAGGGTTGAACCAAGCTGAAACCAGGAGCCAGGAGCTTCATCTGGTCTCCCACGTGGGTATTATTGGGAGCCCAACATATTAATAGCTATTCCTGTGTGGACAATTTTCATTTTTCTTTTGGCTTTTCTACCTTTGTAATTTGTCATTTTATAATAAACATGTTGTGTTTTACCTTTAAAAATTTCTTAATGGAGGCCGGCGCCGCGGCTCACTAGGCTAATCCTCCGCCTTGCGGCGCCAGCACACCGGGTTCTAGTCCCGGTCGGGGCGCCGGATTCTGTCCCGGTTGCCCCTCTTCCAGGCCAGCTCTCTGCTGTGGCCAGGGAGTGCAGTGGAGGATGGCCCAGGTGCTTGGGCCCTGCACCCCATGGGAGACCAGGAAAAGCACCTGGCTCCTGGCTCCTGCCATCGGATCAGCGCGGTGCGCCGGCCGCAGTGCACCGGCCGCGGCGGCCATTGGAGGGTGAACCAACGGCAAAGGAAGACCTTTCTCTCTGTCTCTCTCTCTGTCCACTCTGCCTGTCAAAAAAAAAAAAAAAAAAATTTTTTTTTCTTAATGGAGGGCCAGAGTTGTGGTGTATTGGGTTAAGCTACAGCCTACAATGCCAGCATCCCATATGGGTACCATTTTAAGTCCTGGCTGTTCCACTTATGATCCAGTTCTCTGCTAATGTGCCTTGGAAAGCAGAAGAAGATGGGCCAAGTGCTTGGGCCCCTGGACCCACATGGGAGACCCGGATAGAGCTCCTGGCTCCTGACTTCTGATGGGCCCAGCTCCAGCTGTTGCGGCCATTTGGAGAGTGAACTAGCAGATGGAAGACCTCTCTCTCTCTCTCTCTCTCTCTCTCTCTTTCTCTCTCATTCTCCCTCTCTCTGTAGCTCTTCCTTTCAACCAAAATAGATAAATCTTTAAAGAGACAGAGAGAAAGAGGGGAAAAAAATGAAGGGAGGACATTATTTAAAAAAAAAATTTCTTAAGGGTAGAGCAGTACCCTTTAATCCTCACAACAGTGCAGGACTGTTGTGAGGATTAAAGGAGACAATTCCAGCAAGCACAGAGTACAATTTCTGGTTCAGTGTGTTCTCCAGAAACAGGAGTCTCCCAGCCCAGCCCTTCCTCCTGGACTTTCCCTCCCTTCTGGTGTTGAAGATTCTGGCCCCAGGCCTCAGCAGGGGAGGGAAAAGGAGGCAGTACAGGGCTCTGGCCAGTTACTGCCTGTGTGGCTTTGGGTAAATCACTTCACTTCTGAGCCTCAGTTACCTTGCCTGCAAAGTGGGAAGACTGACAGTTCCCGAAAGGAAGTTTACAAGAACCTCATGATGTACAGGAAGGAAAATGGCCTGGCACACAAGAGGTCTGCAATAAATGCCCACAGACAACATACCGAAGAAATAGCATTGAAGCAGAAGCTAGGGGTGGGCATTTAGCCTAGCAGTTAAGGCACAGACAGCTCATGTCAGTGCCTGCGTTTGACATCAGCTTTAGTTCCTGATACCAGCTTCCTGCTAATTAGATCTTGAGAGGCAGCGCGATGGCTCCAGTAATTGGAACCTGTCACCCACATGAGATGGAGTTCCCAGCTCCTGATTTATGTCCAGCCCAGTCGTGGCATCTGGGGAGTGAACCAGTGGACTGGTGCTCTTTCTCTGTTTATGTGTCTCTCTGTATCTCTGCCTATAAACTGAATAATAAATTAATTTTCATAATAAACAAAGTAGGAGTTAAGCTGCAGAAGCTAGAGAATTTTAACACTAGGTCCACAGAGCCCAAGAGGTCCATAAGGAATACAAGATCTATGAACTTGGAAGGGAAAAACTGTCTTTATATCACTAACTGAAATTTAGTATTTCCTTCTATTATGCATATAAGCAAAAAATAAAAATAAACCCCCAAACCAAAAAGCAAAACGTACCCACAGCAGTATTAGTACTATCTATAATTTTGTCACCAACAGAAATTATGAGTACTTTTATACTATATTAGATACATCTTGAAATATTATTTATTCTCTGGCCGGCGCCACGGCTCACTAGGCTAATCCTCTGCCTGCAGCACCGGCACCCTGGGTTCTAGTCCCGGTTGCTCCTCTTCCAGTCCAGCTCTCTGCTGTGGCCCAAGGCAGTGGAGGATGGCCCAAGTGCTTGGGCCCTGCACCCGCATGGGAGACCAGGAGGAAGCACCTGGCTCCTGGCTTCGGATCGGCGCAGCACGCCGGCTGTAGTGGCCATTTGAGAGGTGAACCAACGGAAGGAAGACCTTTCTCTCTGTCTCTCTCTCTCTCTCTCCCACTAACTCTGCCTGTCCAAATATATATATATAAATATATGTATGTATATATATTATTTATTCTCATTCACTACCTCAAAGTTATAGTAAAAGATCCATCTCTAGATCTTATTATTTGACACTGTTGAAAGTGTAAGATGAAATCAAGATTCAATTTAATCGGTGCCCTTTGGAATTTTGAATGAGTTATTTTGGTGGATGAAAGCATTATCCCGTTTAGAGCTTCATCAGGCTGCCAGAGGGACCCCTCGTCTAGACAGACATGGGCACAGCCCTGCCTGGGCCACGGATCGCTGAGCCAAACCGGGCTTGGTATTTCTCTCAAAGGCACAGTCACGCCTGCTTGGCTCATCCCTCAGGGCTGTTGGAGCAACAGATTAATTCTTGGCTGGAAAAGGGTTTTGAAAATTGTTGGAGGGTTCCTACTTTTGCCAAAAGCTGGAACAGAGGACTTTGTTCCTCCTAAGCTGATCTCCATATCTCCTTCCCAAAAGATCTGTCCCCTCTCACTCTCCCTCTGATAAGTAGAGGCCAAAGTGCACCACCCAGCTTCCAGTCTGCAGACCCACAGCTCCGAGGGGTGGGGGGTGGAGGGACGAGTAGGAGGATTCCAGGGCTAACAATTTCTTCCAGTTTTCATATTTGACTTTACACTGACCCTCGAGGACCCCTACCCCTCAAAACTCTCCCAGGCTCCTTCAGATGATCCTCCCACACACACTTCCCCTCTGCCTTGCCCTGCTCTGTCCACTCCTCCACACTGTATGTTTCTCAAGAAAAGACCCAGATCTGATCCCTGGCAGATTCCCAGGGCCCAAGTCAGGAGCAGGTCACACACGGGCATCTGCACAGCTGAGCTGGGAGAAGACAAGGAACCGGAAGCATAGAGAGAAAAAGCAGAGAAGGGGTGGAGCAGGGCTTGTGCACAGATCTCCCACACCCCCAAAAGAGGTGGAGGGATTGGAGACCCTGAGGCATCTCATTAGCTACTTCCTGCTCTACCCTCCACTGTGAAAAATGCAGCCCGCCAGGACCCTGTGTCACAGGCCCTTAGAGTTGACCTGCCTGTCTCTGGGGAAACCAAGGCCCCAGGACTCCAGGCCCCGACTCTCTGCTCCTAAGGGGCACACTGCCTCCTGACCCGGAAGGAAATCCTGAAAATGGAGAGGGTTTCTGGTTTTGCTAGCAGTGTAGGAAAGAAGGTTATCCCTTGCAGTAATCCACACTCACACTGGCCCCCTTGTCCCAGGCCAGGGGCAGGGGTCCCGGGGAGTGTGAGCCGTGTCAGGGCACGGGAGCGCTCCCAGGGAAAGGAAGAGACCGGTCAAGAGGACACAGATAAGTCCCGGGCAGGGGAGACCTTGGTGAGAGCCGTACGGAGAGCAAGGGGAATCGCAAGGAGCCAGCCCTAGGTTAAAATGCCTCGGAGTTAGGGGCCGGGAGAAACCACTTCGCAGGTCCTCAGCTCTCACCTATAAAATGGGTTCGCAAACTCTCATCTATAAAAATGCGCATGCACACTCCTGGACTGGGGTCGTCGTGAAGCGGAAGTTGATCCTATGCACACTGACCCTACAGCGTGGCCGCTCGCCTTAGTTCCCGCGCTAGTCGCGAACTGCCCCCGAGCTCCCCAGCGCCCCGCACAGCGCCCCGCGCGCCTCGAGGTCCCGCCCCGCCCCCCGGCCGTGTCCTCGCGTCTCCCTGCTCACCCAGCGCCCTCGTGCACAGACTGGGCGCGCAGTAGGGTGGCAGAGGTGCGCGCGGGCGGCTCCGGGCCGGCTCCCCGGTCGGCTCCGCGGGTCGCGCCCCACCGCCGCCCGCTCCTGGCTCCGGCTCCGGCTCCCGCTCCTATCCGCGCTCGCCACCCACCGCGCCCCGGCCCGCTCGCCCGCCCTTTTCCTCAGTACCGCGGCTCCCCCGCACCTGGTCTCCCCGCGGGTTCCGGGGGGCAGCCGCCGCGTCTCCGCGCGCGTCGCTGTGTCCGCCTCAGACTCCGCGAGTCTCCGTCTCCGCGCGCCTCTGCCCCGCGCACTCCGGCTCCGCCTTTGTGAGGCTCAGTTCCCGTCCGGGCCCGCCGTCCGGGGCCGCGGGGCGCGATGAGCGGCGCCTGCACGAGCTACGTGAGCGCCGAGCAGGAGGCGGTGCGCGGCTTCAGCTGCCCGCGGCCGGGGGGCGAGGCGGCCGCCGTCTTCTGCTGCGGCTTCCGCGACCACAAGTACTGCTGCGACGACCCGCACAGCTTCTTCCCCTACGAGCACGGCTACATGTGGTGGCTCAGGTACGGGCACCTGCCCTAACCCCACCTTCAACCCCGGCCCCTCGCGGCCCCTCGCCGGCGCGGGCTAAGCTTTAGCTCTCATCCAAGTGCCCACCGGCACATGGGCACCGACCGCCGCCCCACACTTACCACTCGTGCCCGATACCGACCTTCCCTCTCACCCGATCCCCTCTCAGCTCTGTTCCCGCATGCTGATCCCAACCGCTGAGCTCCATGCCAGAATCTCACCCCAATCCTTACCCCCAAACTACCCTCTCTGCCCCCACCTCGAAACTTCTTCCATCACCACTTTCAACCTACTCCAAATCCTGCCAACCCCTACCTAACAGCCGACTTGCATCTTCACAGGAAACGCAAACTGTAGTCCGCATCTAGTGCCCCCTTCTTACTCTCCACACCGGCTTATTCTAGTCCTTACCCACTCCCAGCTCTGCCCCAGGCTCTCCCCCTGCTCCGGCTGCCTCCCCCCACCCTCCCAGCACCACTCTGACATCCTGACCCCAAACCTTACCGAGACCCCCACCCAACCTCCACAGCAAACCTTCCTCCTCACCTGATGCTCCACTCCCACCCCAGCTTCAGCCCCTTCCTTTCCCTTCTCATTTAGCCATTCTTTCAGCTGAGCACTTAGTGTGTGCCAAGCCCTATGGCTGGTGCTGGGGTGGACCCCACCCCTGAGCTAGGGCAGGAGACCTGGGGGGTCAGAGCTGCCTCCAAGGCCCTTCATGAGACAGTGGTGTAAAGCCGCAGCAGAACCTGGCTCTGGCCCTATTAACAGAAGTGAAGTTTGGGTGAATCCCCCCACCCATGGGAGCTCAGGTATCCGATTTGTTCAGGGAAAGGGTTGGTTAGGCCAGCTCTGGCATTCCTGGGATCTCTGGAGAGAGCTGAAGGGGCAATAGGCCTTAATCCCCCTGGGTCTCCAGAGGTCTGTCTCACCCAGAGAATGGGATGTGGTGCTCTGGGAAACAGGCATCAGCAAGAGTAGAAGGAGTCACCGCAGTGGGTAGCGACTTGCCTGTCCCTGGAGATACATGAGCAGAGGTTGCACACCCTCTGGGTGGGGAAGGACAGCATCGCATGCCATAAGACCGCTCTGAGCCTCTGTCTTTTTATCTGTCAAATGGGGAGAATGATCAGTCATTGCCCTGATGTCCAGCTAAGGCTAGGATCAAGAGGTAACGGGGGTGAAACCAACTTGGTATATGCCCCCCCCCCAGCAGTTATAAATATTACTGCTTTTTCTAGGCTGTTCAATCTAATGCGAAATTATTTTCTTTTTTACAGTATTTTTGTAAGATTTATTTATTTATTTGAAAGGCAGAATTACACTGAGAGAGAGAGAGGCAGAGAGTCTTCCATCTGCTGTTTCACTCCCCAGATGGCTACAACAGTTAGAGCTGAGCTGGTCTGGAGCCAGGAGCTTCTTCCAGGTTTCCCACATGGGTGCAGGGGCCCAAGCACTTGGGCCATCTTCTACTGCTTTCCCAGGCCCCAGCAGGGAGCTGGATCAGAAGTGGAGCAGCCAGGACTTGAACAGGAACCCATATGGGATGCTGAAGCCACAGGTGGAGGCTTAGCCTACTACACCACAGCTCCAGCCCCTAAATGATTTTCAAATGCCAGGTTATCATATCCTGCGCATTTGGCTCCTAGTATCACCTAGGAAATCGTATTAGTTTATTTTCTGTTCATCCATATATTCATTTACCCATTTACTGCCTTTGCTTTGTCAAAGCACATCGCACAATGGGGGGTGGGGTGCAAAAAATGATGATCCCCTGCCCCCAAGAAGCACTCTTGTCTGTTCAGAGAGAAATAACATACACCCAAAGTAAAACACTGCAGTGTTTGTTGAAGGCTTCTTACTGGGGGCTAAAATAAGATAGTGCTGGCCTCCCTCTAAAGAATGAAGACAGTGTGGAGCCTTGGGGCTGCTCAGAACCTGGGCCAAGCTTTGGTTCTAATTTTCTATGTGGGTGGCAAAAGTTTTTCAATCTCTTTTCTCATCCTTAAAATGGTAATAGTAACGCCTGTCTCATGGAATTGTTGTAAGCTCTAAGAGAAACAGAGTACATGAAAGTCATCCGTGTAGAGCAGGTGCTCAGTAAAACAGAGCTCCCTTGCCCTGCTTCACAGAGGTGGGAAATCAGGCTCAGGTAGGAAAGTGAATTGTTCAAGATCTACCGGGCGTGGGGAACCTGTTTTCTGCCAGGGCGTTAGGGTATTTGTAACATCATTCACGGGCCAGACAAAATTATCAGCTTAAAAATGAGCCTGCTCAAGATTTATTGAATTTCAAGTCCCACTGCAAGTTGGCTTGGCAGGGCCAGACCAAGTGATTTCACAGCCTTTATAGGGCCTGTAGGCTGGAGGTTCCCCAGCCCTGTTAGCGGGATGTAGATTTAAAGAACACTACCTAGGACCATGCACGGGTTAGATGCTTTCAGGAATTCACAGTCTTGGCATACCTTCTCTCCTTCTAACAGATGAGGATACTTGAGAGAGGCTGAGTTACCATTTGGGAGTGTGCTGGCCTTTGGGAGAACAGAGATGAGTGACTCTCTCATCATCCAGCAAGGACCCCTTCCCTCTCCCATCACTCCCTTCTCTACACACGATCTGTGGTCCCTTGTTGCCTTGGAAACCTTCTCCACATGGAGTGCTGTAGTAGCTCAGACAATGCTGTAGCGGGGTTGGGGGGGGATTGCTGAGGTCACATCCAGGGTCATTGTGACCCCAAGGGCAGCTGAAAGTTCTAACACATAGGACAATGCTTCCTGGGCTCGGACATAGCATGGTTCATAAACATAGCCAGGACATCCACAGCCTGCCCTCCACCCAAGGGAGAGGACCTGAGGGTCCCCACGATGTCCAGGGCATCCGTGTGCTCTGAACCTGAAAATAACTCTTCCGACTGGCTTCTGACAGAGCCCCTGCCAGTGCGGGTGGGGGCCTTGTCTGCTCCTGGTTCCATCTGTCCTTTCTTGTGAAAGGCGGTCTCCAGGTGAGCACCGTTTCCTTGGAGAGAGAATGCTGAGGGAGTACCGCCTTCTGTAAGTGCATCTCAGGCAGAGAAGATGCCCTGTGGAGAAGCAGCCAGCGCCATCACACAGCCTGGTCCACTTGCTAAATACCCTCCATCACCAGTTCTGGTTTTCACCAAGGTGTGAGTCCAAGGCAGCAGCCCTGCTGGAAGACAGAACTGGTGGTCAGCATTGTGTATACTATCTCATTTCATCCTGATGGTCGCCTGGTGAGATAGAAACCTTTGCAAAGGAAGACAAGGAAATGGTTTTCAGCGTATGTGTGGCAGAACCAGGATTCGAACTTAGAACCTCCTAGTCCAGGATTTGAACTTAGAACTACCTGAGGACTACTTAGAACTAGCCCTCATTTGTCAGGCCCTCCTGTGCCTTCCTGGGGTCCCAGTGGGCTGTTTTAGTCTTTCGGAGTCAGAATGGTGAAATCCTAGAAGGCTACAGGTGCTCCCATCCAGTTCCCACCTGGGGCAGGAATCTATAACCTCATTGAAAGAGGGTGCTCACCCCTGTGGCCTGCACAGATTCTGCTGTGGTGGTGGGGAACTGACGTCTCTGACACCTCTGGTCACTTAGGGTTTGTTGAACTGTTTTCTCTTTTATTTTTTTTTTCTTATTTCCGACAGGCAGAGTGGACAGTGAGAGAGAGAGAGAGACAGAGAGAAAGGTCTTCCTTTTGCCGTTGGTTCACCCTCCAATGGCCGCCGCGGCCGGCGCACTGAGGCCGGCGCACCGCGCTGATCCGATAGCAGGAGCCAGGTACTTATCCTGGTCTCCCATGGGGTGCAGGACTTGGGCCATCCTCCACTGCACTCCCTGGCCACAGCAGAAAGCTGGCTTGGAAGAGGGGCAACCGGGACAGAATCCGGCGCCCCGACCGGGACTAGAACCCGGTGTGCCGGCGCCGCTAGGTGGAGGATTAACCTATTCAGCCACGGCGCCGGCCTTGAACTATCTTTTAATTCCATTTTCCCCTAACTTTTTAAAGCCCCCTTGTTCTATACGCACAATGTGGAAGATGTGAAATAGAAGAACTCATGGGTGACTCATGACTGACCAGGGTCTTAGTTTGAGTTTCCCAAAAGACTCTCAGAAGATGTCATGGCAAGTGGTTTACAAGGACAGTGACCCTATAAAGGTAGGGAAGTGAGATCGGGAAGGAGAGAAGCCAACAGCAGGTGTATTCCCCAGCAAGTCACACTGGCGCTCTCCAGAGCCTGGTCTACCCTGCCAAGCGGGGGAGGCCATGCACCCTGGAGTTATCCCCTCTGAGAGCCAGGTTCTGTCCATCATTGATGAGGGCCAGCAGGGGACGGGAGGCATGAATTATCCCACGCTTCTGATCTGTCCAGTGTGTACACAGAGCCTGTTCTGGGCCTAAGCAAGCCCTCGGGCAAAGAGAAATGAATGCTGGCCAGAATATTCCACAATGGTAACACCCAAGGGAACGCAGACAGGCCATCCACAGCTTTCCTCCTCTGCCAAGACAGCCAGTTAGCTGTGTATTTCTAAATCTCTATCCTGCCTGTCTATGTGTACTTTGGTGCAGTTGTTTATTGAGTTAAGTTGGAGTGATGCTATAGATTAATAAGGTGTCCTGCTCTTTTCACTTAACATTATAAGAATATATCCATGATCTTAACTAGTATTTGAAGTATTTAATAGCTCAATACTCTTCCATCACAGAAGTGTCCAAAAACTTAGCTGTGAGAAGACAGATTCTTCAAGGCTCTAAGGTGTTCATAGGAAATCAGCCATCAGCTAACTGAGAGTGAAATTCTTGTAGAAGTGTCAAGGGCAGGAGTCTGGAGCTAGAGGTGAGGAAGGGAAATGACAGGCAGCCTGGAGGAATAGTGGCAGGAAGGAAGGAACAAAGCCTGGTGCAGACACACCCCTTCCTATTGGGAGGGGTGGCTATGGGGGTGCAGTGGTTAAGCCACAGCCTGGAACACCCACAGTGCTGGGGGAGAGCTTCTGACAGTGCCCTGACATATGGCAGGTACTCAGTATTTACCAGCTACACACTGCCAGACCCTGTTCAAGGCGAAGAGGAAACTGCTTAAACATGGTCTGCTCTGCCTTCAGGGGCATAGGACTATGTTGAATACTTAACGCGTGCTCAGAATAGTCAGTGCACTCATCCTCATCACCAGCTGCAAGGTACTGTGTGTTGACCTTTTTCACTTTTCTGATGAGGAAGTGGAGACTCAAAAAGTTAAATACCTGTGCCAAGATCTCCCAGGGAGTCCCAGCCTGGTTGGTCTGATCCCAAAGCCCCTTCCTTACTCTTTCCCTAACAGCCCGGAGTAAGGTGTCCTGCCTGTGTAGGTTGGCCTGGCTTGAGGGCAGGGGGAGAGAAGTATGACAGGACATTTGGGATAAGCCTCCGAGGACAGGCACAGCACCATCATGGGGAGATGATGGGGAGGGAGCCTGTGAAATAGGACAGACAGGGCCCCTAGGTATCTGAGCCAGGAGACAGTTTTCTGGAGAGTAGAAATGATATAATAAATCTATATTTGGTCTCTGCCTCCAGTGCATGAGACAAAGCAATTGAAACCCTTGGAGATAAGGATACTAGAAGAATCTTCTGTTCTAATATTTGGTCTGTGATCCTGGGCTCCTGACACAGCGCCCCTAAATCCTTCATAATTTCCTGGGTGATGGAAGCATCTTTTGTTCTGATGAGGTGCTGCTGGTGGGCTCCTGGAGAGCCTCAGAATGGGGGCTGGTTGCCAGGGGAACCAACCATGTGATTCCAGGGTTGGAACTCACAGCCCCACCCCCCAACCTGCGAGGAGGGAAGGAGGACTGAAGGTTGCTTGACTGGCCGTTGATGGCATCTGCCATGCCTACATCAGGAAGCCTCTGTAAAACAAAACAAAACAAAAATACAAAAGGACAAGGTTCCAAGAGCTTCCAATTCTGGACATGCAGAGACCTCTGGAAGGGTTATTGTTGAGGGCATGGGAGCTCCTTATCCCTCTCCCATACCTTGCCCTGTGCGTGTCTTCCATCTGCCCATTCATCTGTATCTTTTGTAATATCTTTATGATAAACGAGTACAAGCAAGTGTTTCCCTGAGGTCTGGGAGCCCATCTAGCAAATTAAACCCAAAGGCACACCAAAGGTCTTAGGCACACCAGTGTCTACACCTGAAGTGCGGGGCAGTATTGTGCGACTGAGCCCCCTGCCTGCGGGATCTGACACTTTCAGGTGGACAGGGTCAGAATTGAGCTAAATTACAGGATACCCGGCTGGTATTACTGGAGAATTGTGGGTGTTTAGAAAAACATCCCCACTCCTCATACCTGCAGCATCAGAAGTTGTGTAAGGGAAAAAACTCTTAAGTGACCAAAGCTAGAGTGGGGAAAGAGGCAAAGAGTTGGAGGCTGAGGGCCCAGCAGTGAGGAGACTTCTTGGACATAGAGTTGACACTGGCATAATCAGAAGACCCACAGAAGTTGCCTCACCAATTACTTTGAGGTTGAAGTGTCACTCCCCGTCTTCGTGGAGGAATGACACAGGACCCTGCGCTGTTCTTTTGTCTGCTCGGCCCTTCCCGGGTTTGCTGCTGGTTCTTCCCGGGTTGGCTACCGACCCTTCCACCTCCGTGGAAGGGCGGTTCCCCCTGCCACTTTCCCCACTTCCGCGGGGGAGCGGCACACCGCCTGCCGGCTCTCTCGGGGGCTGCTCAGGTGTTCCTCTTAGATGTTCCTGATGCATGTTGTCTCTCTCCTCCTTTATAGTCCTCTTCCACCAATCCCAACTCTGCTACCCACACGCCGAGTACGCTGCTCTCCTCCAATCAGGAGCAGGATCAGCTGCTGCAGGTCATCACTCAAGCTGGCGAGAGGCAGCTGCGTAGAAGTTGTTACTGCCTTCTCAGCGCCATATTGTGGGAGAGCAGATGTATAGAATAAGTCTCAACTCCAGTAACAGTCTAGTCCGAGTTGCTCCCCACATTGAAGTATCGGTTTTTAACTAAGGAAGGCCTGCCATGTGTTTTCATCATTAAGAAACAGCTCTGTGGAAGGTAAGGGACCTTAAAAACCACCTCCAGGGGCTGGCACAGTGGCACAAGTGGGTAAAGCCACCTCCTGCTAAGGCAGGCATCTCATATGAGCGCCGGTTCCTGGTTCCGGTCCCAATTGCTCCACTTCCAATCCAGCTCCCTGCTAATGTGCCTGGGAAAGCAGCGGAAGATGGTCCTAGTGTTTAGGTCCCTGTATCCATGAGGATGGAGTGTTCGGTGAACCAGCAGATGGAGGATCTTTCTTTCTCTCACTGTCTCTCCATCTCTCTCTCTCTCTCTGTCACTTTGCCTTTCAAGTAAACAAAATAAATCGTTGCCGGTGCCTCGGCTCACTTGGCTAATCCTCCGCCTGCGGTGCTGCACCCCGGGTTCTAGTCCCAGTTGGGGCGCCAGATTCTGTCCCGGTTGCTCCTCTTCCAGTCCAGCTCTCTGCTGTGGCCCAGGAAGGCAGTGGAGGATGGCCCAAGTGCTTGGGCCCTGCACCCCATGGGAGACCAGGAGGAAGCACCTGGCTCCTGGCTTCGACCATTTTGGGAGTGAACCAACGGAAGGAAGACCTTTCTCTCTGTCTCTCTCTCACTGTCTAACTCTGCCTGTCAAAAAAATTGTTAAAATAAATAAATAAATAAATAAGAAAGACCATTCTCTGCTCCCTGGGGTGGAAGCCGTCCAGGAAAGCAGGCAGAGGAGAGAAGAAAGGGAACATGTGCCAAACACTGGGTGCACGGAGCCGCTTAGCCTGTCATGTTGTTGATGTGCCGTCCCCTGCTTAGGCAGAGCAGGCCTGTGTGAGATGGGGAGGCACAGGACAACACCCCCGCCGATTCCTCCAACACCTGACCCTCACACCCCGGCGGGCCTCTCTCCGCAGCGTCGGCGCGCTTGTGGGCCTGTCCGTAGCAGCAGTGGTTCTCCTGGCCTTCGTTATCACAGCCTGTGTGCTGTGTTTCCTGTTCATCAGTGCAAAGCCCCACCCAAAGTTGGACCCAGGCTTAAGTTTGCAGACAACAGGTAAGAAACAGGAGAGGAGCCTTGCAGGTATCCGTAGGGCGGGGTGGGAGGTGGGGCGGATTCGGAGCGGTGCAGGGCCGGGAAGTCGGGGGTCGGGGAGCAATTCGGAGGTGACCTTGGGCTCCTTTGCCTCTCCTCAGGCAGAAGTTGCCACGTGCTCAGGATGTTTCAAGTAGTTTAGTGTCATCACGCAGGAATTAACCCGTGTTGTGGGGTTTGTAAGATTATTTTAATTCTAGCCTTAGGGAATGTAAGCCAATTTTTAATATTATCCCTAACAAAAGAAAATAAGAACTTGCTTCTCCCCACGCTTAGAAACGAAATATAAGGCCGGCGCCGCGGCTCACTAGGCTAATCCTCCACCTAGCGGCGCTGGCACACCGGGTTCTAGTCCCGGTTGGGGCGCCGGATTCTGTCCCGGTTGCCCCTCTTCCAGGCCAGCTCTCTGCTATGGCCAGGGAGTGCAGTGGAGGATGGCCCAGGTGCTTGGGCCCTGCACCCCATGGGAGACCAGGAAAAGCACCTGGCTCCTGGCTCCTGCCATCGGATCAGCGCGGTGCGCCGGCCGCAGCGCGCCGGCCACGGCGGCCATTGGAGGGTGAACCAACGGCAAAGGAAGACCTTTCTCTCTGTCTCTCTCTCTCACTGTCCACTCTGCCTGTCAAAAAAATAAATAAATAAAATAAAAAATAAAAAAGAAACGAAATATAGGTATTTTTGGTTTTTGTTTTGTTTTGATCATCTGATGATTCTGGTCATCGAGACTACTTATTCCTTTGCTAGCATAAACCGTAAACCAGTGTAGCTTTCACTGCATATATTTTTACCATCTCTTGCATTGTACTGTGAAAAATACAGGTTCCTATTGGCAATAGATTTTTCAGTGTAGTTTGTAGACAACATTTGAAATAGATATTATCTCCATTTTACAGATGAGAACATCAAGGCTCAGAGGGGTTTTGTGACTTGTTCAAAGGTCACAAAGCTGATAGCTGGGCCTGAAATTCAGCCTGTGACTTTCTGCCTCCAGTCTTCTCTGTCTTCTGCCCACCCCACAGGGTCTGCACAAGTGTATAATTAACTACAACACGGTTTGATATGAAATGTGTCCATTTGAATTAGCATGGGATAAGTATAGAAATTGGTAAAGCAAACAGAGGAGAAAAAGTATCCCAGCATAGGGCAGATAATGGCCAAAACCGTGTAGGCAGGACCGGGTGAGACTCCTGCAGTAGGGAACGAGGCCAGGCAGGAGAAGAAGGGATGGAATTTAAGCTTCGTCAAAGAAGAAAGGGCAGCAAGCCTGTGGCACACAGAAGGGCAGTGGGCAGTAGCTAGGTCTCCAAGACAGCCAGGTGCTGAATGCTGTCATTTGTTAATAACTGCATGACTGATTTTCTTTCTTTCTCTTTTTTTTAGATTTATTTATTTATTTGAAAGGCAGAGTTACAGAGATGAGAGAGAGAGAGTAAGAGAGAATGAGAGAGAGAATCTTTCATCTGCTGGTTCACTCCCCAAATGTCTGCAACAATCCGGGCTGGACCAGATGGATGCCAGGAGCTCGGAATTCCATCTGGCTCTCCCACATGGGTGCAGGGCCCAAGGACTTGGGCCATCTTCCACTGCTTTCCCAGGCCATAGCAGAGAGCTGGATCTGAAGTGGAGCAGCTGGGACTTGAACCGGCGCTTATATGGAATCTTGACGGCCGGCACTGCGGCTCAATAGGCTAATCCTCCACCTAGCGGCGCCGGCACACCGGGTTCTAGTCCCGGTCGGGGCGCCGGATTCTTTCCCGGTTGCCCCTCTTCCAGGCCAGCTCTCTGCTGTGGCCAGGGAGTACAGTGGGGGATGGCAAAAGTACTTGGGCCCTGCACCCCATGGGAGACCAGGAAAAGCACCTGGCTCCTGCCTTCAGATCAGCGCCATGCATTGGCCGCAGCACGCCAGCCGTGGCGGCCATTGGAGGGTGAACCAACGGCAAAAGGAAGACCTTTGTCTCTCTCTCTCACTATCCACTCTGCCTGTCAAAAAAAAAAAAAAAAAAAAAAAAAGGAATCTTGACATCGCGGGCCCGTAGCTTAACCCACTGTGCCACAGTATGGGCCCTGAAGGCTGATTTTCTAACTTAACAGTGCAAATGCAACAAGCAACAGTTCAAGAACCCTTCTCAGATCCTGACCACGAGTAACCCTGCTGTGTCTAAACAGTGCAAGGACAAGGGCAGGTGGCTGTTCAGGGCAGCAGTGGTCAATTTGATACATTTGGTGTCAAGGAATTTTATACTTGATTATATCACTTCCTGAGGTTGGGAAGACCTGGGAGGTGGCAGGGAATAGGAACAAAGCCTAACACAGACCCAGCCTAACCTGCTGGGCCACAATACTCCCTGGCTCGCTCTCGTGTCCACCCCAGCCCCCCACCACATCCTTCAACTCTTTGAGAGAAACATGAAGGTTAATGAAAGACAAAAAACCTGTCTGGGGCAGGCGCTGTGGGTTAACCCACGCTGCATGCACACTGGACTGCCCATTTGAGTCCTGGCCATTCTGCTTCCAATCCAGCTCACTGCTAATGTGCCTGGGAAAACAGCAGAGGATAGCCCAAATATTTGGGCTCCTGCCACCCACATGGGAGATCTGAATGGAATTCCTGCCTCCTGGCTGTGGCCTGGCCCAGTCTCTGCTGTTGTGGGTATTGAGGGAATGAACCAGTGAATGGAAGATCTCTTTTTCTCTGTCCCTCTTTCTCTGTCATTCTGCTTTTCAAATAAATAAGTCTTAAAGAAAAAAGACCAAACAGAACCTGCCTATCTGGTGGGACATGGCATATATGTGGAAAGGAAGATGCCAGTTCTTCCAAAATTAATCTATGCAGAAAAATCCCAACAAAGTCTTTCACGGAATTTGCCCAGTGAACTCTACACTTGATCTTAGCCAAAAGACCAAGAAGCGATTGCCCAGTGAATTCTAAGATTAATCTAAAGTACACAGGTATCAGAGTGAACATGGCAATTTTGGAAAACAAAGAAGAGAGACTTGCTGGTCAGGCACAGGATGCGCTCTTGTTAGCAGAGCTCAGGTTTATGTTCATTGTTTATTTTCCTCTGGGATGCTGTAATAGGGCATTTGAGGAGTTGGAGGTGGGGGGAATCAAATTTCCCTCTGGAGACATCACTGTCCCCTACACCTCCGCCCCACATGACCATACCACGTCACTAACTCATACTGCACTGTCTACCCGCCTGAGTCTTCTTCATTCACCCTACTAGGAAGTCAGATGCAGGATAGTTGAAAAGGACATAAGCTTTGTCAGTGAAATACGGGCACAGAATTGGGCAGTGCAGTGGCTCTCAACCAGGTGAAGACCACTGGGTACCTGGGCACTAAGAGGAGTTTTGTTGTCACAGTCAGGAGAGGGGTGACACTGGTACCTACTGGCAGAGGCACAGGCATGCTGGGAAAACTCCTGCCCCTCAGAAGACAATACCCTGTAACAAAGAGTCGTTGGCCCCAAATGTCACTTGTCCTGGAATAGAGAGTTCAGAAACAGACTAATTAAATATGAAAAATTTATTTTTTTATATGAAAGAAACAACTTGGCAAATCTTCCTGAGTCAAATATAAAACACACCATATATAAATCTCAGAAACAAGTGATGGGCTACAAAGATATAATAAACACAAACATCTATACACATACACATAATTGATCCTTACTCTCAGATTCCATATTTGGGAATCTTTTTGCCTACTTGCTAAACTTACTTGTCACCTCTCCGTCCCTAGTAGAGGCACTCTGAGGTCATTTGCAGATTCGGGCACGCCCAGAGCGGCTGCGTTTGCTCCCAGGAGACAGTAGCCAGGCAGAGCTCAGCCTTCCTGTTTCAGCCCAGACAGTCATCAGGTGTCCTTCCGGCAATCTATTTAGTGCCACGATTGCTGTATTTTTGTTGATGATGTCACCGTTTAAAATGGGCTCCACGCGTAGCGCTGAAGTGCTGAGCACAAGAAGGCTGTGCTGTGCCTGGCAGGAGAACCGTGTGAGTTAGGCTTCATTCAGGCAGGAGTTAAGGTGTGTTGGCTGCAAGTTTAGTGTTAATGAGTTGATTATGTACATTAATAAGGAGTCTCTTAACAGAAACACTAATAAGCAAAGTTATGTATCAATTGGTTAACAAAAATGTGACAGATTGCTCATAGGGTCCTTACCTTGGGTTTTCCCTAGCAGTGACCGTTCGGCATTTACTAATTCAGTGTTGGCGGTGACTTTATGGAACATAGCTCCTGTGCATAGTGAGAATTGACTGTATGTAAAATATGACAGGATTGATACCTAGAATATAAAAGCACCCCTTTAAACAAATGAGAAAAGTGTAATCCACACACACACAAAATCACAGATGCCCAATATACACAAAAGGATGTTCAACCTTACTCATAATCAGGATGAAGCAATTTAAGCATTACTTCTTTAAAACAATTACACTGCCAAAAGTGCAGAAGTAGTTCACGTGGGAGGTGAAATGGGTCCTCTCCGTACTGCTGGTTAAGAGTATAAATCGTTATCACCAGTTTGTAGGGCAACTTGACATCTGCTGACACGAGAAATGTATCTATCCTGTAACTCAGTGATTCTGGTTATCTGCCTTAGAGAAATCACTGTATTAGGAGAGAACTTGTGGGATAGATATCAGGATAGCTGGTCAGTTGGAAGCACACTGAGTGTCCACCACTGTAGAAATGGGTAGATAAACCGTGGTGTACTGTAACAGTGAAATACAACACGGTAGCTAAAATGAACTAACTAAATAGACCATCTTTTTTGCTTCTCACAGCTCCTGGGGAAAGTATAGATCCTATTACTACTTCCATTTTACAGATAGGGAAACTGAGGCTCGAAGTCACCGATGAGTGAGTGACAGAGCCAACTCCACCTCAACACCTCCTCTCCTCCTCTCTGTTGCTGTGAAAAGGAAGTCCCTGTCATGTGCCAGACACTGTTTTTTGTTTTTGTTTTTGCTTTTTATTTGAGATACAAAGAGACGGAGCTCATTGGTTCACTCCCTAAATGCCCACAAAAGTCAGGGGAAGGCCAGCGCCGCGGCTCAACAGGCTAATCCTCCGCCTTGCGGCGCTGGCACACCGGGTTCTAGTCCCAGTCAGGGCGCCGGATTCTGTCCCGGTTGCCCCTCTTCCAGGCCAACTCTCTGCTGTGGCCAGGGAGTGCAGTGGAAGATGGCCCAGGTCCCTGGGCTCTGCACCCCATGGGAGACCAGGAGAAGCACCTGGCTCCTGCCATCGGATCAGCGTGGTGCGCCGGCCGGCCGCAGCGGCCCTTGGAGGGTGAACCAACGGCAAAAGGAAGACCTTTCTCTCTGTCTCTCTCTCTCTCTCACTGTCCACTCTGCCTGTCAAAAAAAAAGTCAGGGGAAGCCGAAGCCAGGAGCAGGCTCTTGCGCATGCGTGACAGAAACCCAATTACTGCAGCCTGCCTGGGTCCTCATTGGCAGGGAGGTAGAATCAAGAACCAGAGCCACAGATCAAACCCAGGTGCTCTGATGAGGGAGGCAGGTGTCCTAACCGACGGCTTAGCTGCAGGCCAAAGGCATGCCCCTTGGCCGCTATGGGAAGCTTTACATGCGCCAGCTCATGTCATCCTCCAGCCTCCCTGGTGAGGTGAGCATCTCTGTCACCCACTTTACAGATGTGAAAAGAGGTCTAAGAGAACTGGGATGACTTGTTCAAGGAGTCACAGCTCATCGACTGTGGAGCTAGAATTCAGGCGTGTGTGTTTCCATCTCCAAGGTTCCGCCAGGCAAGGCCCCGGGGTCTGCTCCGGGGCGTGCCCTGCTCCCCTGCTCCCCTGCTCCTCTCCCTCCAGCCCCTCTGGCTCCAGGGGAAGGCAGTCCCTCCCTTGAGTCTGTGAACAGAAGCAGCCTACCTCAGCCACCAGCTGGACCCTCCAGTCACTAGGGTCGGGATAGCATGTACTCTTGCTTCTTTGCTTAAGATGGAAACTGCGTTCCTGACCTTTTACTAAATGACAGCTGTAGGATCTCTGCTCACATTCAGTTCCTTGTTTCTCCCATTCATCTTCATTGTGTTTTGCTGTGTTTCCCTCTCTACCTGACAGTCACCAGGAGTCACTAGGCCCTCCTCCTGCTCTGAGACCATTTCCAGTCCCGTGCCTCCGCATTCCTCAAAGTGGCATCCCTAACAGACTGGCCTTCCTGTTGGCTCTCATGCTGTGCAGTAGGACATGTAGTGCGCACATCACCCCCATTTCACAGCAGGAAAGACCAAGAACACTGCAGTTAATTCAATGTGGGAAAAAATTAGTGTTTCATAAATGCAGTCTAGGGGCTCACAGGAAGTTCGGAAAAAAGGAAAGAGAAAGATGAGGCCACTCTACTTTCTACCCCATTTTTAAGGGTAAAATTATCTTTTTAATTCTATTTTACACAAACTTCTCTTTTTAAAACCTGTATTTATTTGAAAAGCAGAGTATCAGAGAGGAGAGAGAATTTTTTTTTTTTTTTTTAATTTTTGACAGGCAGAGTGGACAGTGAGAAAGAGAGACAGAGAGAGAAAGGTCTTCCTTTGCCGTTGGTTCACCCTCCAATGGCCGCCGCTGCAGCCGGCGCACCGCGCTGATCCGATGGCAGGAGCCAGGATCCAGGTGCTTTTCCTGGTCTCCCATGGGGTGCAGGGCCCAAGCACCTGGGCCATCCTCCACTGCACTCCCTGGCCATAGCAGAGAGCTGGCCTGGAAGAGGGGCAACCGGGACAGAATCCGGCGCCCCGACCGGGACTAGAACCCGGTGTGCCGGCGCCGCAAGGTGGAGGATTAGCCTATTGAGCCACGGCGCCGGCCTTTTTCTTTTTTTATTTAAGATTTATTTATTTATTTGAAGGCAGAGTTATAGAGAGGCAGGTTCACTCCCCAAATGGCAGCAACAGCCAGGGGGCCAGGGCTGGGAGCTGGATTGGAAATGGGGCAGCCAGGACTTGAACCAGTGCCCATATGGGACATGGGTGCTGTAGGCGGCGGCTTTACCCACTACGCCATGGTGCTGGCCCCCAGAAAGGATTTTTTAATAGTAACTACGTTGGGTCCAGCATTGTGGCATAGTGGGTAAAACTGCTATGTGTGGTGCCAGCATCCCATATGGGTGCTGGTTCAAGTCCTGGCTGCTCTACTTCTGATCTGGCTCCCTGCTGATGTGCCTGGGAAAGCAGCAGAAGATGGCCCAAGTGTTTGGGCCCTGTCACCCACATGGGAGACCCAGAAGAAGCTTCTGGCTCCTGGCTTCAGATCAACCCAGCTCCAGTTGTTGTAATCATTTGAGTAGTAAACCAGCAGATGGAAGGTATCTCTCTGTGTCTCTGTCTCTCTCTGTATATATAACTTTGCCTTTCAGATAAATAAATAAGTCTTTAAAAAAAAACAGTACCTATCTCATAAGATAATGGTAAAGGTCAGCTCTTCCTGTCTGCTCATCGCTGTGCATCATCTGTCTCCCTCACTAAGTTGTACGTTCAGAAACGCAGCCGTAGTGCTGCTAATAAATAAATACTTGTTAAATGAATGATGCATCTAAGAGTCCGAGCAAGATGTGCTGCCTACAGTAAGCACATGGAAATTAGCCAGGGCGGGTGGTCCTGGCGGGGGAAGGGGCTGCCGGTGGAAGCCCCACACCTCTGCTTGCTGTTTTCCAGGCCCGGAGGAGTTACCTACCGACCATCAGGGTGTGAGTACAGGCATCGCAGCAGTGTGCCCTCGAGGGCAGCATGACCCCTTCTTGAACCCGCGTCTGGAAGGCAATGAGAACAAGCAGTGGTCGCCTCCACTGCACTGCTTCTGGCCACAGTGACCGCCAGTGACATTCCAGGCAGCCCCGAGGCCCTTGTCCCCACCCCTGACCCACGTGGACCAGTCCCATAAGCATCCAATAAATATCTCACATCCACCCCTTCTGGAGTCTCCTTTTGGTGAAAGGAGGGAGTAGGAATGGGCAAAGGGACTTCGGAGCGAGCGAGATCGATGAGGGCTGTTCCCGGCAGAGGCCCCCACGTTCTGCTGCGTACTGGTGTACACTGCTCTGCCAGGTCCATGTGGGCCAACGAAGGCAGACAGGAGCCCAGGAGAATGGTCAGCAACAACTCCGTGCGAACAGGAAGCCCAGAGCGTGCAGAGGAGCACCTCGCTTAACTGGGGAGCCAGCCGACTCTGACTTGGTTTCCCTGTCCCACAGTAAGTGTATTTAGGAAACTCCAGGAAGATGGTCAGCACCCAGAAGTGGGTGACCCTTGCCTGTCCAGCAGCTCTGGCGCCCTGAAGGGAGCAGTTGGCCAAGGAAGGAAAACGGGAGGGAGTGTAGCAGGCACAGGGCAGAGCTGTCATTCAGCCTCGTGGGTGGGCGGGAGTGAATGACAGGGGAGAGAGGGAGCAGCCAGCAGACTGCACACAGGCTCCCATGTGGCCCTGATAAAGGCTCTTAGTCTCCCTAACCTCAGTTTCCTTGCGGGGTTTTTGCAAGTGTTCCATGGGGTAATGGATTTAAACTCTCTTTATAAACACCAAAGTGCTTAAAGACTTAAAATTACAGATGGGGGCCGGCGCCACGGCTCAATAGGCTAATCCTCCACCTGTGGCACCGGCACCCCGGGTTCTAGTCCCAGTTGGGGCACCGGATTCTGTCCTGGTTGCTCCTCTTCCAGTCCAGCTCTCTGCTGTGGCTCAGGAGTGCAGTGGAGGATGGCCCAAGTGCTTGGGCCCTGCACCCACATGGGAGACCAGGAGGAAGCACCTGGCTCCTGGCTTCGGATCAGCGCGGTACGCTGGCCGCAGCAGCCACTGGGGGGTGAACCAACAGTAAAGGAAGACCTTTCTCTCTGTCTCTCTCTCTCACTGTCCACTCTGTCAAAAAAAAATAAATAAACCAAATAAATAAATAAAAATACAGATGGATGTTTTCTGATATGGCAGCCTTTTTTAATTTTATTTTATTAATTTATTTGGCAGGTAGAGTTATAGACAGTGAGAGACAGAGACTGAGAGAAAGGTCTTCCTTCCGTTGGTTCACTCCCCTAATGGCCGCCACAGCCGGCGCTGCGCCCGACTGAAGCCAGGAGCCAGGTGCTTCTCCCTGGTCTCCCATGTGGGTGCAGGGGCCCAAGCACTTGGGCCATCCTCCACTGCCTTCCTGGGCCACAGCAGAGAGCTGAACTGGAAGAGGAACAACCGGGACTAGAACCTGGCGCCCGTATGCGATGCCGGCGCCACAGGCGGAGGATTAATCAAGTGAGTCACTGCGCCAGCCTGATATGACAGCCTTTAAGAGAAGAATTCAGTGGTGGTGGGAGGGGGAGGCTGGCATTATGGTGCAGTAGATAAGCTGCCACTTAGGACACAGGCATCCCATATCAGAGTGCTGGTTCTAGTCCTGGCTGCTCTGCTTCCAATCCAACTTCCTTTTTTTTTTTTTTTTTCCGACAGGCAGAGTGGACAATGAGAGAGAGAGACAGAGAGAAAGGTCTTCCTTTGCCGTTGGTTCACCCTCCAATGGCAGCCCCGGCCGGCGCGCTGCAGCCGGCACACCACACTGATCCGATGGCAGGAGCCAGGTGCTTTTCCTGGTCTCCCATGGGGTGGAGGGCCCAAGTATTTGGGCCATCCTCTACTGCACTCCCTGGCCACTGCAGAGAGCTAGACTGGAAGAGGGGCAACTGGGACAGAATCTGGCGCCCCGACCAGGACTAGAACCCGGTGTGCTGGCGCCGCAAAGTGGAGGATTAGCCTAGTGAGCCTCAGCGCCGGCTCCAGCTTCCTTCTAACGCAGCTGAGAAGGCAACAGAAAATGGCCCAAGTACTCCCCGCCACCCATGTGGAAGACCATGGTAGGGTTTTTGGCTCCTGGATTTGGCCTGGTCCTGCACTGCCTGTTGTGGCTATATGGGAAATGAACTGGTGGAAGATCTCTCTCCTTTTTTTCTTGTTTGCCTTTCAAATAAAAAAAAAAATTAAAGACAAAAAAATAAATAAATAAAGAGCAGAGACTCTAGAACCAAATGCCTGGGCAAGGTGCTGTCCTTGGAGCTGGCAGTGTGGTTCTGCGGGCTGAGCTGCCGCTTGTGGTGCCAGCATCCCATAGTGGAACACCAGTTTGAGTCCTGGCTGCTCTGCTTCTGGTCCAGCTCCCTGCTCAGGTGCTGGAAGGTAGTGGAGGATGGCCCAAAGTGCTTGGGCCCTGCTTCTCACCATGGGAGACCTGGATGTAGTTAATTCCTGGCTCCTGTCTTTGACCTGGCCCAGTCTTGGCTGTTGGGGTATTTGGGAAGTTAACCAGCAGATGGAAGATCTCTTTCTATCCCTGTCTTTCAAATAAAATGAAAATAAATAAAAGAATGAGAGAGAGAAACCTTGGTCCTGCTCTGTGGTCTTACTTTATTTGTGGTAGTATTTACAAGTGTGTTTTTATTTTCTTTTTAAAGTTTCTCTTTTTAAAAATATTTACTTATTATTTATTTTCTTATTATTACTATATTATTTATGTACTTATTATTACTATATTATTTACTTATTTATTTATTTATTTGCCCATATGGGATGCAGGCAGATGCTTAGCCTACTACAACACAGCGCCAGCCCCGGGTTCTTTTATTTGCCCAGTGATTGCACACGCCTATGGAGTGTGCAGGGCACACAAAAGGGCAAGGGGGGAGGGGGTGCTGTGGTGCAGTGGGTCTGATCCAGAGTCCTGCTAATCCAACAGATGGTGGCCCAGGGTTTGGGCCCCTGCCACCCACGCGGGAGACCAGGATGGAGTTCCTAGCTCCTGGCTTCAGCCTGACCCACACCTGGCTGTTAACAACCATTCAGGGAGTGAAGCAGCGGATGGGAGATCTCTCTTTCAGTCAGCGCCGCAGCTCACTAGGCTAATCCTCCGCCTGTGGTGCCGGCACCCCGGGTTCTAGTCCCAGTTGGGGCGCCAGATTCTGTCCCGGTTGCTCCTCTTCCAGTCCAGCTCTCTGCTGTGGTCCAGGAAGGCAGTGGAGGATGGCCCAAGTCCTTGGGTCCTGCACCCTCATGGGAGACCGGGAGGAAGCACCTGGCTCCTGGCTTCGGATCAGCGCAGCACTGGCCATAGCGGCCATTTGGGGGTGAACCAATGGAAAAAGGAAGACCTCTCTCTCTCTCTCTCTCTCTCTCTCTCTCGCTATCTAACTCTGCCTGTCAAAAAAATAAATAAATAGAGAACAAAACTAAAATACAATTAAAAAAAAAGATCTCTCTCTGTTGCTCTGCCTTTCAGATAAATAAATAGTAAATAAGTCTTTCTTGGAAAAAAGCAGTGGGCTGGGCAGCGGCCCTGCACACAGCTCGAGGAAGGGGGAGTAACGTCCGGGCTGAGTCATCAGTGATGAGCCAGAGCTTCCAGGTGAGGCAGCTATGACCAGGGTACAACCTGTTCCAAGACGGAGGGCCAGGGAGCCCAGCAGGGCCCCACCGCAGCAAGCTATTAGGTGTGGAGAGCACTCAGGGGACCTGTGTTTACGCACGAGCCCGGTGGGGGTGGATGAGCATCTGGCGGCGTCATCACTTCTGCTCCGAGTGACCCTTCCTGGAACAGAGACCCTCTCTGTCCGAGTCCTGTCTTTATTGGTAAATTTCAGTGTTTTTCTGAGGACTCTGTGTGCTGGGCCTTCCAGGAAGTCACAAGCGAGCATCAGATAATGTTTCTGCCTTTGAGCAGCTCACCGCTACATAGCGGAAGATGATCTGTAAATTCCAGAAACTCTCAAGTGGCCGCCAGGGGCCGGGGCTGACTCCCAAGGGCTTGTTTCAACACAGGTTGCTGCCTGCCTCCCCCACTGGGCCGGCCAGCATCTGACTCTGTAGGCCCGGAGTAAGCCCCCAGTATTTGCATTTCTAACAAGTTCCAGATGATGCTGAGGCTGCTGGGCTGTGACCACCCTTCTGCACAACTGGCCCCCAAGAACAAAGCCGAGCTTTGAATGCAGACGTTGGGAGACCTCACACTGAGCAGGGCCTGGGACCCAGCAGGAGCCTGTGTGTATGGCATGGGCCTAGGAGAATCCCACCTGTGTGCTTCCTGCGCTGGCCCAGACCCTAGAAAATGGCCCACCCCAAGGTCAACGGTCATTCTGCAGAGATGCCTCTCACAGGGTTGGCCCCAGTCCTGCCTTGGAGACAAATCCCCCCACCCACCCCAGCAGCAGAAGCCCCTCCCCCAGGGCTGCCAAGGATGAGGAAGCTGGGTGGGCTGACGCACAGACAGAAATAGTCTGAGCTCACCGGGGCTCCCAGGCACACATCGACCGGCAATTATTTCTTGTAAATTGCTTTCCCGGTTATGTTCAGAGTGTATGTGTGTGCGCGCGCGTGCGCCTGCTTGCCTGAGAACACGCGGAGGGCACAGGGCGGGGGCGGCTGGCAGGGGAGTGGTCTCCAGATGGAGAGGAGCCTGAGTCTGAATCTTCAACCAAGAATGAGAGCACACTGAATGTGAAGACATCAGACCTTCCACTCCCCCTTTATGGTGCTCCTGCCGGGGGGATTTGCAGCCGTTTCTCAAACACTCGTCTTGTTTGTTCACTCAACACTGATTGCCAATGATGCTTCTGCCAGGCTAAATTATATCCCAGTCCCCAGCTGCAAAGAGCTGCAGGCCTCTCTAGCAGGTCCCTGACCCAGCCAAGGGCTTCAGGGAAGGCTTCCTGAAGGAAGTGTGCCCGAAATGAGTGATGAAGCACCCACTGACAGGTGAAGGGGCTTGTGGTGGGAGATGAAGCACTGCGTTGAAGGCCGAGGGAACAGTACATACGAAGGCCCACAGCGCGCACGGAGGAGGTTGGTGATTTTGTTAGGGAGGAAGATAGAAATCAGCCTATGTGTCTGTGAAAGGGGCCGAAGCAAAACCACTCAGGTCCTAAACATGCCTCTTCT